GATGACTAGCTGCCTTCCCTCTAGTCTTACACTGCTAAATTAGGGACGGCTAGCGCAGATAGTAAATTATGTAGGTGTTTCCTTTAAACAAACAAACGTATAAGTAAACCCTGATAAACACCAGGCTTTAACGATCGGTACTATCTCTAGGAAAACAAATTGGTTTTTGTTTTCTTCTCCTGAATTCCTATACAACTTAGTTTCATTAAATACAACAATATAGTATAATATTAGCAGGTTATCAATTCTACGATAACAAAATTATCTTAAACGTCTTTCCTTCTATTACTATCATAGTTTCAATTAGAAAACAGTTCTTTGACGTTTTCTGAGCATGATATTCGAGAGGCTGGATTAACTTTGCTTGGTTTTAACCCAATTGCTCTTTATTTTACATACAGTTCCTCCTTTGATCTATGTGCCAAATGAAGAGGTTAACATTACCATTGAATCGGAATGTGTCTTACAGTGTATTGTGGAGGGACTTCCTGCTCCGGAAATCTTGTGGTTTAAAGATAACACTGTTCTCGATGAAAGAACATACCCATATTATAATTCATCGATCGAAAAGACCGAAAACTGTACAGTGTTTGCCACTTTAACAATAGCAGCAAGTTTACTCTCTGGGGCATCTAATAACAGTAGCATTGGGAATTATACTTGTGAAGCAACTAATAAACACGGCAGAACCCGAGCTTATCTTCAGCTTGTTGGTAAGTAAATTCTACGCACGGAAATTCCTGTATACTTACCTAAAGGTTTTAGTTTTTGTTTTTCGCCGACAATTACTAATCATCAGTTGACTTTATATAGAAAAACAAATTTTTATAAATAACAAAGCGTTTTGTTCAAACATCCTGTTGCATGAATAATTTTACAGCAGAAACTAGATAAAATTTGCAAACTAAATATAGATTACGTGAAAACAATTAAAACATAGATATGAAAAACATAAGGGAAGTGTATCAGGAAGTACCATCTCTTTTCACCAGGAGATCCAAAGTTTGTATAACGGTTATGTAATTCAGGGTCTTCGTTGTTGTTCAGTGTTATGTTTTTTCCATTGTTAATTTCATTTGTTTATCCAACGTTATGTTGTTATTCTATTTTCAATGAACGAAGATTTTGGCATCTGACCAATTTATCTAGCGATTTGAGTTCATCGTGTAATTGTTTATAGCCGAAATATCAAATGCATCTTTTTTTTTTGCAATAGTTTTTGTATTTTTCTCAGTTTAACTTATAGATATATTTGGATTTCCGATGTAGAAGTTTCTACGATAAAAAGGGATTTCATAGACGCCTTATTTTTTCTTCGTGTTTGTTTTATTTTTTCTATTGAATTTTTTTCACCTATTTTTCTCTGTGGCTTATAAGAGACTTCTATATCTATTTTTTAATAAGTTGCCAATTATTTTGACTATAGTAAGATCGCATGTTAAAAAAAATTGGTTTTTCTTAATTTTTCAATTTTTGTGACAAAGGAAATCATAAGTAGGTTAATGTTTTGTTTTTATTTGATTCACAAGATTGGTGGACTTTTACGAGTATTTGTTTGTTTGAAGTTAAGTACAAAGCTACACAATGAACTATCTATGCTCTGCCCACCACGAGTATTGAAACCTGGATTCTAGCGTTGTAAGTCCGCAGACTGGGGGGGGGGGGGCTTTCACGAGTGTACTTATGGAAAGTTAATAGGGCAGAAATAAGCTTTGGCTAAATGCTGGACTAAGTTGTATGTTGAGCTATTATAGCAAACAACGATAAATGTAAATTGTACACGTTGCTTGTGGAGCTTGTGTAGTACATATAGTTTAGTAGACTTCTACATAGACTCAACTTCACTTACAATCTCTTAGGTTGGGATAATTTAGGAAGCACACCGAAACTGAATCCCAAATTTGTTTCGTATTTGTTTCGGAATTAATTAACTGCATATCCGACAGATTTACCACAGGGTCAGATGATTTGAATTTAATTAAATCATTATCACTGTCCTTTTTTTTGTTTTGTTTTTACCTTTATAAATGTGTTAAACTTGGAGGGAGAAGTGTCTTTATTCATGATACACAGTGGATAAACAAAACGATTTGTTATTTATCACAAAGTGAAGACGTTTCAAGATTCATAAACTTTCATAAATTTCTTAAAGCATTTCTTTTTTTAGAAAATCAGTCATAAAATGGATAAATCATCATATTTAAATTAAGCATTTCAAATATTATCAGTCATTATTCTTATATTATAATACATATTTTAGTATAATAGTTTATCAGAATATCAAGCAAACAAATTAGAAACGTAATTCAACATATCTCATTGTGTTGTTAGGCTTAAACTCGCCTTCAAACAAATTAAAATATATCTCATTTGGCACATCTCCAAAATTCCTCTTAATATTTTCATTGAAACCTCTAAATTGATTATATATTAACATAAAGTGCATATTTATCTGATATATTAAAAACTTTCGTTGATTAATAATTTTTGCAAAGTATTTTATTATAAAATGAAAAACAGAATTTACATTTTATACTATTTTCTACTCGAATATATGAGGTAACTATTTAAAATTGTTTTTTTTTTCTAAAATCTAAGAGGTGCAATGCATTTCATAATATTGAATGTTCTACTACAGAAACATAGAGCGGTGAAAATTGAATAGTGCTTACATGAGATTTGCTAACGTACGTGAAGAAAGTACATTTCGATCTATATTAAGGTAAAGAAACTGCGATGTGTCTTTCAAATCACGTTTACTAGTCGTTATCACATTTATATTTCAAGTTTCGATGAAAATCAAAACTCAATTACTTACATTCTTAAAGATATACAGCAAACTTCCTAAAGGCGTGAATAGAAAATGTGACCAAAGATAAGACTAAAATACTTTTTTTTTTACTCTGAACCATGCCTTTCCGATTAATTTTGCACGTAAATCTCCAAAACATGGATTAATCATTTTCAGATTTAGTTCAGCAACAGCTGATAAATAGAAATGAGGAAAACAATTACAAAAAGTTCCCTAGTGGTAAGTCACAATATATTATAGACAATACTTTTTATTACAATTCACTCCAATATGATAAAAGTATGTAAAAAGAAGATGTAGTATTTTTCTGATAATGATGGAGTTTCTTGGTCCGCCTTTAAAGATCAATGATTTTACTCTGAATTAAACTTTATATAATAAAATCGCTATTTCTTTAGCAGAAGCTTTTTTCCTGAAATATAGTGTTTATATACGAATAATTTTAATCAAACATAGATTGTGAGAATGACATCTAAACTTAGAACAAAAGAATCTCTATTATGTTTTTATTATGGCAATATCAGTACTCTCTGAAATGGTAAGTTACACATTTTTGTAGCTTGATTGTACTTTCAGAACATATCTAGAATTGTAATTACATAGTTACTAAAACAGAATATATAGGTATGATCGACTTTAAATTATATGTATTTAAAATCCGTTGTAACACGTAGTAGCGATTTGCAGTTTAATGACGATTTGTTACATGACGGACCAAAATAGATTTCTTTTTCTCAGAAGTCTATGGAATCACCAGTAATGTGACAATTAGAAATACACAAGAAGAGAACAATCCTAAGAAGTTCAATGTAACAGGATTTATTGTTGGGATGCTTCCTCCACTCTTTATCTCTTTTTACATCATCCTGAAGCTTGGATACCGATCTCGCTATGCAGAGGAACGTGCTGAAGAACAAGGTATGCGAGAGGAACCTTTTTTTGTCAGTTACTGAAGGCTTCGATAAACACATGAGATATTTAAAGAACCACAAGAGTTAGTAATCACTTTTATAACAACAAAACATCTGCCAATAACAAGTGCAAAACACGAGAACAAAAGTAACCATTTGACAGAGCCTTCAAAAAAGGTCATATCAGTTTAAAGAAAACAGAACAAACCTTCTTTGAAGATTGAATACTGTCCTTCCTTTATAGTAAAGATACTGTGATAAGAAGAGAAGCAGTTTTGTCAACACAAGGATTAGATATGCTAGAAATGTGTCGAAGTAAGATTTAAAATAAATACAGAAAATATTGTAGAAAGGTTTTAAAAGGTGCAATAGAATAAATCTATCACTAATTTGTTTCATTGAATTTTATCACCTACATTCAAATTACGTTTTTTTCCCTATAAGAGCTCTTATAAGTTAATATCAACAACATTGATTACAACCTTTGAACAAATGAAAAAAAATGGAGAATGTAACTGGGATTCACCAAAGTGCTCTTATGTACAACTAAAGACTCGATAAACTTATCATATTCTATTATTGCAAGATTGATCTATTTTAATCTTTACTTGGAGTACTAATAAACCAAAACTAATGAGTATTGTTGAACATGTGTGGAAAATTATCAGTAATGTTTACTTTTAAGAAACAGGTCAAATTTAAATTGATGATGCATTGAAGATGGCGATTGTAACTTGACAATGTCCTATTTATGTAAAGTAATAATGTACGTTACCATTCAAATAATTTATGACTTAAAATTCGACTTTGTTAGAATAATGTGTTCAACTAAAGTAACTGATACCAGAGCTACTACATATACGTCACATTAGAGACCACATTATACATTTAGAATTTTTGGCATAGATTTCGATGTAGTATTTTTTAACTAGTGCGATTGCTCTATGCTTAATTTTGTAACTCAATAGTATATCTGATACTTTACCAGGTTATACTAATATTATTGGATAAAAAATAGTTCACTAATTAAAGCTGGGTTATTTAAAACATTCAAGCTAAACAAACAGCTTATCCGCCTTGAAAAGTCCTGCTTTTGCTAACTGCTAATTTAAGTGAATAAGAAGTTAGGATGTCATTTTAAAATTTTATATGTCAGGTAATTCGAACTCTGAAAGATAAGACACACAATGATAAAGACTGAGCTCGTGTTTTTCAAACTTTTCTGGAAATCCAGAAAAAAATAGGTAGTGTGTTCTTTTCTCTGTTCGTCCTCCTGAAATACATGCAAAAAATACCAGGTGTCTCGCTAATTCTGAATGTTAGCTGTTACAAGTTCAACGACAAATCAGTGTAACTTATTTCTCTATCTCTTAATATGGTTCTACGAGCTTCAGAATTATTTGTATTTCTACAAAATGTTAAGACGTGTTTTAGCTTTAAAGTCATTAAACAAGAAACAACATATCTTCAAAATTGTATTTTTTGTTTACAATTTGTTAATTATTTCTAAAAACTTTCGAAAGTTATGACGCTAAACGTAATAATTTTGTACATTTAAATTTATATTGACCAAAGCTTAAAAGACAATTAGATTCCTCTATCAAATTTGTTGAGGCATCGTTCAGTGCGCCTCTACAACACTTACTAATGATCATACCTAAAACGTCAAAGAAGGTTCCCTTTAGTGTTAACGGCGTTCATTACATAAACCTTCATTGATTTTACACAGCTGCAAGTTTAAAATATAACTTAACGAGGAAGTGAGTAATTATTTTATTACAAATTCGAAAGTGTGTTTCTATTTTTGCAACAAGTAATGTTTTAGATCATTTGACTCAAAATTAGCATAAATATATGTTAATCCAATTAAACTAATCTTGCAAATAGTTGGTAGTATGAACCATTCCATCTTGTACTAGACTAAAATCTTAGAATTAAAGGCAATCACTGGAACTAGTGTTTCCAGAAAATTAAAAACGTGTAAGAAAACAAATATTATGACTTTATATATTTGCGAATTTGTCATTTTCACGTTGGAGATCAATCAAATAATTTAAGAAATCAAGTCACAATATGTCACCTGTCACAATAATTTGTTAATCATAAGAGGGTTAGAACTGTTTAATGTCATTTTAAACGTTTAAATAATTTGAAGATATCTTGTAATGTGCATAGGTGGATATAAAATAATGGGTTTGATTCTAAAGTGTACATACTAGTCACCTATGAACATGCATTGAATATACATAATGATAGTGTATTATTTGGGTTTACTGAATGTTCACATTGGTTTTCATAAATATTGATATTATGTTATCCCAACATAAAACATTTATCACTGCAATCATTAAGTATCGTAGATTACAAATAAAGAATTTTTTTTTTATTTACATAACAAGCGTGAACTTAACAGTCGATCACTGTTTTAGGAATTTACTAGCTACTTAACATATATATATAGTGACATGAATAAGAAACAATATAAAGTAAATAGCTATTCACTGCATACAACAATTGAATGATAACTAGAATGTATAGTATTTTAGTTACGTTAGTACAAAAATCGCTGATGTAAAAGAACGTTGCTCGATTCATTTTGTGCAAATCAGGCATTTGATGAAGAGGACGATTCACCACAAATGATTAGTCCTTCAACCTATGTTCGTGAATGAATATTTCATAGAGGTAACTTTATACCTTTATAGCTCATTACTGTTCTATCCCCCCCCCCGGTGGGGCAGCGGTACGTTAACGAATTAACAACGGTAACATCCTGGGGTCGATTCCCCATGGTGGACACAGTAGACAGCCCAGTATGGTTTTGTTCTACAACAAACAACAAAATACTTGTTTTCTCAGTGTGAAGTGTGGTCACAATGAACAGCAAATATGCCTAGATGCTGATGTTGAATGCTTAAAATCAGTGTTGAACACTCAATCTTTCGTGTAAAGTCATGATTAGTGTATCAAATTATTTGGCAGGGTGTAACGCGTCCCCCATGAGCATCCTTTAAATAGTGAACTGTACTGGAGTCCGGTGAGCGTTCTAGCCACTCTTCTTCAAGGAAAATTCCGACCAGTTTAGTATAATGAGAATGGGAGTTTTCAACCAATATACTGAAGTCATAGCCAATTGCACCAGCAAATGGAAGTACAAAGGATCGTAGGATGTCATTCCGATAAAGTGTGAGCTATTCAGCATAATGTAGAGTTCTAAACGTTCGTCAATGCTTCTTCCTGTCCACATCACATTTCCCCCACCTCCATAAGTAAAAATGTGGTCCGATCTGGTTCAATATTAATTCGAAATAAGTATGCGCCTGTTATATTTCTGCATGGTGAATCGCGACTCAACTGAAAAAATACCATTGCTCCACATACAGTTCTTACAGCAGACGTGTTCTTGATATCGTGCTTCAATGATCGTCCGTTATGAAGTTTCTAGCTGCCTTTACACTTTCACTTACATTTTGTAGCTGCGAAATTTTGATTCACTCTCCAATTCGACAGGTATCGGTCATTTAGGTAGGTTGTGAATGATAGTTTTCCCCGTTCAAGTGTCTGAGCAACTGAACTATTAGTTTAAAAAGATTCCATATTCTATTAACAACACTTCAAGACACTTGTGCGCAATTCGAAAAATTCTTGGTGTGATTGGTTAACTTCCATTCGTTCGATGATCTTTCACATGAATGAAGCACTCAAATGGCTTCGTTAAGTTTTCTCCGTGGTTTATGAACAACACTTTAAGTCTATGAATTACTACACAGTGATAGCTGTCACATAACTGTATAAGACCTTTCTATATAGACCAGGCTTAATGATCAATCATTTCCATTTTTAAGTCACATGACTTATGTATGATCAACTGCCTGATATACATAAAAATGGACTGGAGATTGGGTTAACATTATTTTATAACAGTGGTTTTGTTGTACTACTAAAAATTCTGATTATTATATAACTGTTTTTTTCAGTCTACTAATATTCTTTATTTTAAAAATCCTAAATAATTTCTCAATATTAAAATCAATACTGATGTAAAAATAAATGTTTGGATCTATTTTATACTGGCCCTACAAATGTAGATAAATTGAAAAACATAGAAAGCTTCTGTTCATATTATTATTAAATATTTGACGTTCACAAATACTCGTTAATCTTGAAGAACGTTTTATAGTTCTACATAATTTTTGAATTTTAACAAAGTTTACACATTTGTTTTGCTGTTTACAGCCGATATTCTATTTCCTGATAATTCGAAACGTTATGCAAATGATATGAAATTTGCTGTTTTACTTAATCTTTATTTCCTTACTCAATGAAGAAAGGATTTCGAGTGAGAAAACACAAATTCAGGAAATAATCTTGTTTTATCAGTTAGATATTACAGGTTAATCTGAAGAACGTTGCTGGGTTGATTTGTTGATCAACAAAAAATATATATACCATATGTTTAAGCTACACCTGTTTAATACGGATATTTTCAATGCTGGGATTTGCAAATGTACACACATATATATATATATATATGCACAGCCTTAAGAATTTTTATCTATGTTGTTTAAAGTTTTACACATCTATTTGTAGAGCAATGAGATCCTACTTCTATAGAAATATCATATTTATTGTAGAATAGATTAGAAACATTATATGCATAGTTTGAAATAATTTTATTATATCTGTTGATGAGTCACATTATACTGAATATTCTACATTGGGATATAATATCACAAACTTAAGCAATGAGTAACGTCAGTGTTAACTATTTATTGTTATTCACGATATTATTTTATTCTAAGTACCATTACATTTTGCTTGTGCATGTATTGAAATATGCTTTTAAAATAAATGATATACCACAGTTATAACCATGTTTCCTGTCTTTTTTATATCTACGTAGAAAAACTTTACTTGTTTATAAAATTATCAACATAGAAAAAATATTTTTTCAGACAAAAAAAAATTATATTTAAATAACGTTTTGCTTCATCATTTTCCGTTACTCTAAATATAAAATGTGCAAAAGGTTTCGTGAACTGAGCAAGAAATATAACAAATAGTCCAAGGAAATGACATTAACCTAATTAATTGGTAAATCAATTTATAATTCATCTCCCAGTTTTTCGTCAAAATATATCATAAAAGATGGTAAGCTGTTAATAACAGTTTTCCATATCATTCACAGTATTTTAAGTTACAACAGGTAATAGAAGTGTTTTAAGTATATTTAACGTAAATGTATAAAACAAATTGCTAATAATGGAAAAAAAGTCAATTTATACAATTTTTAAATCCACATTTTCAATTTAATTATAACAAACGAGTTTCTCTCAGTAAAACGTAAATATTTTAATTTTTCCTTGTTAATTTACAGCCCTTCGAAATTAAGTAAATATAAATATATATTTATATAAACGAGATTGTTCTTTCACAAATTAAGTTTCAATATTCTAATGCTCTCACATTGCGATTCAGGCTTAGATTTTTGTCATTTCTGTTACTTTTACAAATAATATTAAGTCTCATTTCATTTTTTTCAGTTATCTAATATTGTAACTCGTTTTATTTTTCAAGTTGTACTCTTTAGAAAAATGTGAATTTGTTTTTTCAGGCTTTGTTCTATGTGGTATTCCTTTCGAAAAGCAGCAATCATATTAAGTGCAATAAACTGTAGTAGCATTAACATTAATGTTCTACTATATATTTCATCAACACTATTTCTTTTACTTTAGACATCTATCTGATTCAAATGTTTCTACATTACAACAGAAAACTGCTATAATAAATCCTTTCAATCAACCATAAAGCTACAGCAATACGCAATTAATTGGCTCTTAACAATTGTTATATCGCCACCGTACTCGTTAAATAAAAAAAGCACTTAGGATGATGTAAAATTCCACATAAAAACACAAGAAGAATAGCGTAGAACTTTCACGATCCAAATTACTGAAAGAAAAACGAATTAACAAAAAACTTAAAAGTTTAATCAAATGTTATATGTTCCGACAAAGAAATAGTCCTAGTTGAAAACCAGTCAAATGAATTCTACTCAAGTTCGTTATCAACTACACATTCTTACTTAAATCATTTCATCTACTTGTTTTACTCAATAAGCTCTTAATCAATTAGTATATTAATAACACAGGCCTGCGAATTCAAACTTCATAAAAGTTGTTTTGGTTTTAATAACGGCTTTTCCATAATTACTACGCAGATTTTGAAAACAATATTCATATTTTTCTATCACGTAAGGATGTTTTTACAAATCGAGAAGAAAAAGACCCCTACTTAGATCAAATTATTATTTCGTTTACAACAATGAACATTTTATTACTATATTTATTAACAAAAATACAAACAAATTTAAGAAAAGGGAAGAACATTGATGTCAAACGAACATGCATCCTCATTCATCCTGATCTTTTTTTGTGTGAAATCTACGTCTTTTTGTCTCAAAACTACGTGTTGTGGTCTTTCTTTTATGTATTGCGTCTGGAGCATCTCATTTCAATGACCAACAGTAATCAGTCATCATGCTGATTTTGCACCTTCCCTGATACCTCCTCTCCATTTCCCTAATGTCTTGACGAAATCTTTCCCCGTGTTCTTCGCTGACGGCACCGAGATTTTCAGGGAAATAGTCAATATGTAAGTGTAAGAAATGAACTTTCAAGCTCATATTACAACCCAACTCTTTGAATTTATCAAGCATGTTATTAACAATATTTTCGTAATTTGGGTCCTTGTTGTTTCCTAAAAACTTTTTCAATAACATCTTTAAACTCAGTCCACGCTTCTTTTTCAACTTTCCTCATTGTCCTTTCGAAATGTTCATTCGAAGTCAATTTCTTAATCTGAGGCCCAACAAAAATCCCTTCTTTAACTTTCGCTTCTGAAAGAGCTGGAAATTGCCCACGTAGCTATTTGAAACAGTCGCCATCTTTGTCAAAGGCCTTTACAAACTGCTTCATCAAGCCAGTTTTATGTGAAGTGGAGGTAATAGGACTTACTTTGTGTCAATCAAACTTTCACGTTCAATGTTTTTCGATCCTGGTATTAGACTGACTCTGCGTGGCTATTGCTTCTTTATCCAGCCATGCTCTGCTGTCCCACTCACACAAAATATATGGAAACTTTGTATAACTGAATTGTTAACCCAACAACATATAAAGGACTTTTAAGTCTCCACAAAATAGTCAACCATGTTCTTTGTATCTGACCTTGTTAAGAAGAAGTTCGAGATTTTCGTACGTTTCCTTCAAGTGAACCGAATGAACAATAGAAACAGATGCATATATGTTACCATTGTGAATGAGAAACCTTTTAGACTTCTTCTGGAGGAATCAATGAACAATCACTTGGTTCATAGACAGCAGCTCCTAGCACTGATATTGATTCAGCAATATTGTTGCAATAAACCAGTGAACCTTCTTGCAAAAAAGCATGGTATAAACTCTTTCTTACGGTTTCTGTACCAGTAAAATGATGTCCTTGGAGAAAGTAAGTTCTTAGCCGAAGTCTGGACCCCAAAATCTCTGAAGAATCCTTTGGAAGGCCCAAATCTCTACCAAATCATTAAGTTCACCTTGTTTGAAATGTTGTGGTTCACCAGACGTTTTAGATTGAGAACAATCCCTATTAAGAGTCTCCAGTGAACTAGGTGCTGGTACATCAGGTCCATGAGCAACAGGTCTTATAGCATATTGAAGGTTCGGATAAGAAATTTCTATTTTATTTCGAGTGTTGTAGTCTTGCACGTTACATGAGCAAAAACAGCAGTCATCCCTGTGGTTTCTAGGTTCATGCCAGACCATTGGAATTCCAAAAGGGAAAATTTTTTTCTACCTTCAGCCCATAGTCTCAACTCTTCAACACAAACGGTGAAAACACTGCGTGGAGCTCGTAATTTCTCTTTGACCCCAAATTGTATTCCACAATACGCGTAATACGCTTTTTGGACGAATTCTGTAATGTTTTGCCTTTATTTCTTTACAACATAATTACCACAAACATAACATAATATGTCTGGGTCAATTACACAAACTCTTGTTGCCATAGCGACGAATAAATAATATTGAAAAGAAAAACATATGGCATGTCATGCGGCCTATTAACCGTTTTTATACTAGCGGTGTGTTTATCGTGGATTCTAGAACAATCAACAAAGCTCTCACGTCGCGATTGGTCTAGAGAAATCTATAGCCAGTGGTTATCGACATTTTAAGCATAACAAAATGTGACCCGATTTCAATGAAAATGATTCGCATATGTAAAAGTACATATGACGTTTTGTGAAAATCTGTACGTGATGGAGAAAATGGATATCATATTCGGATTCAGCGTACAGGAATTACTGTAGAACATGTAAAAATGTCAAGACGATAAAATCATCGCAGGCCTATGTAATCACCCACTGAGATTCGTTCCTTTATTCACGTAGATTTTCTACATTTGTTCCTGTGATTCAAAACAGAAAGTTCCATTGACCAGCTTCATTATAATTTGTTACTGATGGCTTTCGGGCCTGGCGTGTTTAAGTTCTTAATTGCCCAGATTGTGTATCTGAAGATTCATTATTCGCGATCCACTGCCACTATTCGATTAAGCAAGAGTGCCTTATTAGTTGACTGTGGTTGTTGTTTACTAGCTTCCTTTCTTTTATTCTATCAGTTCAAAATTATTCCATTACCTTTATACTGAAATCATTATAAAATTACGGATAGCTATGCTCAAGTAGCTTTGAGCGAAACTTCTAGAACAAACTGTCGTCTTTCTATCTAAATTTCCAATATCATCAAGTCTCATACCTAGCGAAACGACTAAAGCAGACGTACTTTCGAAAATAATCAATGTTAATATTTTAAAACTCTGAACTCTTAATCTGTAAAGATGTTAATTAATTGCGAAGCGTGTATTTTCCAACAGCATTTTATAGTCTTTCTTTTTAAGTCTTGAATTATTAACCAAAGAAGAGATTATTTCCAAATCTCAGCGTTCAGAAGTTCCAACACTTAGGGAAAATTCAAATTTACAGATATTTGACAAGAACCGTAAAACTAAGTCTTTTTCATGCGTAGATGAAAACTGAATTTAACCAAAAGGAAAATTTAATATATTTTATTTGTATTTTACTCAACTTTGTACAGAAAATGTGCTTATAAGTTCAAATAATTTGCATGCTTTTCAGACAATGGTGAAAATGAACCTTTATTAAAATAGTGTTCTGAAAGCGCAAAACAGAAATTCGTAATAAAGGTTAGTAATTAGTTTCATCTATGATCTGAGTAGACGACTAAATAATATCAATACTCATAATAGGTCTGGGAGAGAGTCTAACAAATATTTAATTGAAACTCAACGTCACATTACTTTTTGCTTCACTACGTTTCTTCTTTCTAGCTTTAGCCTCATTATATCATTATATACATAACTTATAGTAGCTTATTTTTATTCTAAAAAAGCATCGTTTTTTCTATTAATCGTGAACCACGGTAGTGATTCATAATAGAGATCGCGGATTTTTATTATTATTATTATTCCAATCCCCGTCCCACCAAACATGCTCGCTCTTTCAGACGTGGGGGCGTTATAATGTGACGGTCAATCCCACTATTCGGTGGTAAAAGAGTAGCCCAAGAGTTGGCGGTGGGTGATGATGACTAT